GAATGAAAGACTTTATAGTCAAACATATAAAATGCAATAAAATAAAAAAATATATATAAGAAAAGTGAAAAAACATTAGATAAAACTTTTAGATTAATTTGTGAGTTTTTAAGATAAAGATAAAGTGAGTTTTTAAGATAAGATAAAGAGTTTTTAAAATAAAGATAAAGAGTTTTTAAAATAAACGATATGTAATTCTATAATCTATCTAATGTAATTCTATAAGTTTTTATTTTTTATTATTTAATTTTGTAAAATAATAAAAAAAGAGTAAAATAAGAATTACAATATTTAATGAATCATGCATGGCATATTTGCTGCATACTTAAATTTTAGTTTTATATATAGTTTCTAATGTTGTTTTATTTTATATACATAATACACAATATACTCGTTTTTAAATAATAAAATTATAGAAGAATAATTTTCTTTTTAAAAATGCAAGTTTTTGGAAAAATATGATAGTTATAATTATTTTGAACAATAAATGTTTTGAGACTAATAATAAATGGTTTTCTATAAATAGGCGGTTCGTGTTATTTATACATATTGTACTTAAGCTTCTTGTTTTTTTTTTCATTGCTCACAAATATATCTATTCGGCTTTAAATATTGAAAATTCTAAGCAACGCGAAACCTAATGTAATAAAATCTGTTAAAAAAGTGGATAATAGAATGTAAATTTTTTTTAATTTCAAATGAAACAAATAACTTTTTAAAGAATTATTATATATTAAGAATATGATAATTAAATTGAATTTATAATTTAAAGCTCTCAAAATTTATAAAATTTATTTATTTGTAAAATAAAAAAATTGCACAAATGCTTCTACAATTATTAAAGTATGCTTAATATAAGTTACTTTACAATAAATCCTGTTTTATTATTACTTACGAATGAAAAGAAACACTATTTTCTGCAGAATAACTCACTTTGCAAGTAACACACTTTCGAACCATTATTTCTTTTTAAAAATATAATGTGACATTCCTATCGATATTCCGCAAATACGATACTCTGCAAATAACGTACAAATAACCTCAAACTTTCCTTTAATTTGTATAAGTATACACCAATAAGAATGCATTAATGTATAGTATATGTTAAGCATGCGCAAAACGTATTTCCGGACACTTTTAAAAAAGAGAGACGTTTCTCTCTCCAACCTCCCTCGGACATAATCATATCTGTATTACCAGTCCATACATATAAGGTCTATGTGTACATGCTTTTCGGAGCCATGTATTTGAGACAAGTTAGCAATCTAGTATATAAATATAAATGTCTATGCTGATGCATTACAAATCATAGACGTATAATATAGACCCCGCATATCATATACTCTTCTATACCACCAATTGGGTTTGACAGAACAGTGAGAGAGGCAAAATATTGGGGAATATCTGTTCTTTACTACGCGCGCATTATTGACAAATAAAAATGGCCTACTCGAGGATCATCTGTGTAGCAATATACTTGTATTTAAAATGAAATAATATATTTTTAAGTTTATTGAATACGAGAAAGAAAGTTTTAATAGAGTAAAGCTATAAAGAACAATATAACTGTCCATCACGATCATACCTATCAATAGATTATCGCGCATTTTATCTGCGCAGAGAGAAAGGGAGAACTTCCCCTATATTTTATCTCTCGCACCGTTCTGCCAAGGACTGATATATATAGCTAATGCTGAGTCTTATATATGGCTATGTTCTATCCTTCATTTTCCGAAAGTATATGATAAAAAAGAATATGAAACATTGCTCTCTCGCTTTATCATTAGAAACAGGATATAAGATCGAGATAAGTGTTCTTTCATTCTATCATTTCGAATTTTGATGTTAGTCACAAGATGTATCCAGTCTATGAGATCTATACTAGTTATATAGTCAAAAAGGTTACGTACATTCTGATATTAATATAGTTCAGTAGTCGCATTACATCAAATAAAAGGGAAGAGTATTTAGACGGCGACCAATATTATAAACAAAGCAATTATGACTTAGAAATTGTTTATTAACAGGCAAAACAATATCAATCATACAAATGATGCACATAACTATGTAGACACTCTGAAATTTCACTTGCTCAAACATTTCAATCATGCTATAAACAAAGTACTCTCTTCCTCTATTACATTCTATTTTAAAAACATTGCCCCATACGATGCAATCAATAGTTATGCATGCATACATACATATTAGATTACCATCATATATTCCCAAACACATTTACACATCTTGACGAATATAATTGCATGTTACTAAATATTGGATTTCAAATCTTGATATAACAGATATGGATACAAAAGAGAGATTATGTAAATTAAATTTCTTTACATGTACACAAAACTTCAAATCACTATCAAATTTACATCAGTATTGCATAAAATAACAATAATGATGCATGATCGCTTTATAATGTATGTAAAAAAATCTGATACATAATTATTCACACTGGTTAACGTAGTTTCATAGTCGATATAAAAAAATCATCTCTGCAATCTTGTTTCAACAAGACCAGAAATATTTTATCAAAAGGAAAAGTATTCTTTTGTCATTAGTCTACCGATAATAAATTATGCAAACATACGAGAACTTTTTAATAAAAAATACATTATGTCATAGCTTATCCATGAATGCAAAACATGTACATTTAACAAAGAACTCAATTGATATTTTTTATTACTAGATAATATGTGAGTAGATGGAGAGAAATAGAATTTCATTTAACGCAGAGTATGCAAAGATGAAAATAAATCACAAAGAAACGTGAACTTGTGGAGGTCTGAGAAGACTCGAGTTACAAAAGCACTATGAAAATAACATATATTTATATTGAATATTGGAAAATCACCGATTGTAATTCACTTTCGATTTCTAGTACTGCATATAAATTATGAAAATTTTACACTGCACTGTACTATGCTATACAGTGCTGCGCACAATCTCATTACAATTCATCCTTAACTATTGTATACCTATTTTTGCTTGGTGCCAGTTTTTTAAATGCGGATTCTGGTGGTGTTGTGGGTTGTTTTCCAGTAACTGGTATTTCATTACTGGTGATGTCAGGACCATAATGAAATTCGCGATGAAGTTTGCCAGAATATAAATCCTCCAGAAAAGCCTTAAGTTTTCCTTCCACGAAAATATCATTGAAATTCGGGAATAAGTACATATGTCTAAAACTATCTATTGCAATCAATGGCAAATCTGCTGTGCTTTTTCCTAAATGGTGCAACGGATGTGCAAATTTCAGGCCGTCAGCGGTTAAGAAATTAATATTTTCTAAAAAGAAAAAATAATCTGAAATTTTATACGCGATAAATAATATAAATAAAAGCAGAATGACATACGTTTTTCACTCATTAAATGATTAGTTACGACATATTTGTACTGCTTGACGCTTTCTATATCATCAGGAGCATGAAACAATATAAGGAATGGCAAGCCTTCCTCTGTTAGTTCTTCAGCATTTTCAAATGTTATTTCTCTGACGAATGGTACACACTTCTCCTGTGCCCATACATTTAATTCATCGTAAATTGTCAAACTTCCTTTATAAGTTTCATCCATATCAAGAGATACACCCTTATCCGATCGGAAGGCAATAATAGGTTCTCCTGGAGGATGCATTGCTTTACTTGCATTCCTACACATATTATTTCAAAATCACTATAATTTTTATTTAGAGTGCAATCAACTTGTAGCTACAAATATTTCGAAACATTTTGTAATTAGTTAGTTGGTAAAATTTTGTTATTGTTGATCAATCAAATGCTTCAAAACATTTGTAGTAAGACTTTGATCGCATCCTTTGTGGCAAATGTTTATTATTTTGGTCACATGACACTGAAAACATTTTAAACATCTAATAAAAGAAAAGAATTTCAATTATTCAATGTGCATTATAACATTCCATTAAGAACTTTTAAAATTAAAATGGATTATTTAAAAAAGGGACTTCAGGGAAACAAAATTCATTATGTTAAGGATTTATTTATAAAAATGTATATTTAACATATCTCAATGTATGATGCAAGAACATAATGCTTTATTATATAAAATAGAAAAAAGGAAATAATAAAAATTAAAAAAAAGAAATATAATTTTATAAACACTCAATGAAAAGTTATAAATTTTGTAATATTACTTCACTTACAACAAATGTAAATGCTGTCCAATTTCGCAGTTTTGATTGGGACATGTGCTTGTTAAATAAAGTATCAAATAATTATTATAGAATATAGATTATTTGCAATATTTTTATTTTTGCAAAAGAGAACTTTTGCATTTATATAAAAAATATTTTTTACAAAAAATATACTTGCATCTTAAAAAGAAAATAATTTTATATCATGAATAAAATATCTTACCCAAAACCAACATAGAATTGGCAATCATCCTTCAAATTGGTTGCAACTTTTCTAAACAATTCATATTCTGGTACATCTTTTCTTTCAAAGTATCCTATAATCATACGTTTTTTGTCATCGAGTTGATCAAGTTCTCTCAAGTCGAAAAATTCTTTAATAGGATCTTCCAGCTGTTTCCTAATAAACTCTTGAAACGCTTCTACTGATCGCTGTCCTCTATATTCTCTCTTAGTTGGTTGCCCGTTTCTTATTATTTTCAATGTTGGATATTTAGTTATATGAAACCTAGATGCCACAGATGCTGAAAAAATATAACTTATGACATATCTGTCTCTCTCAAAAATATATAAAATCTAATATATAAATTAATATTGAAACTTTAAATAATCATCTTTATGAAAACAATTTGAACAACAATCAACAACAATAAATGAAAACAATCGTTTTGAAATAAAATTTAATCTCGACTCTTATTTTATGTTTTCATTTATAAAGAATTGAAAAGCAGAGACTTGATTATAAGTTTCTTATTACTATGAGTTTCTTATTACTGAACTATTAAATTTTCTTTTCTACTTTTGACAAAATTTAGATATATATCTATTTTAATTTAGTACAATAGCAAAATAAAATAAAAAAATAATCTTTATAAGTGAATAAAAGAGTACAATATAAATAGTAATTTATTTTCAGAATCTTCCTATTCATTTAATTTATTTAATATTCAAATTCTATTTAATAACTAGAAATTATTATATTTTTACTAAGAATATATTTTAAATATACTCACTTTCACGATCACAGTCTACTTTAGCCATTACTACTCTGCCTGGTTGTGGAAACTCTTCTCTAACCTTATCTGCAGCTTCATCAAATATTGGAGCTAACAGATTGCTAAAGCGACACCATTGTGCATAGAAGTTGATAAACACTAATTCATTCTCAGCTGTAAACAATTCATAATTAAGAAACGATAGATATTATACTTGAGTATGTTTATTAGCGTTAGTACTGTTGTAAACATTTGTACTGTTTATATGTAATACTTTACCTAATGTCACATCAATATTCTTATTTGTAAGTGAAAGTGCTCCTTCTTTTACTTCCTCTGCTATATTGTTTGGCAAATATATCTAA